AGCATTATTTTGCTTGTATGTGAGTTTAATGCTATGGTCCTATAGCTGCTGCAATCTTTTCTATCTCTTTTCTTGTGGATTGGGATGCACATTGATAATTTCCAGTCTGTTGGCCATGTCTTTGTTTTCCATATTTATTGGCATATTTTACTTAATACTAGTGTTGCTTTTGCCTGTGTGCATTGTAGCGGTTCAATTAGGATATCATCTCTTCCTGGTGATTTATTTTCCCCCAAATTCTCTTATTGCAGATTCTACTCTCATTTTTTTAGAATCTGGGGTTTATCTTCATATGGTTCCTCAACTCCCCTCATCCTCCAGCCAGGAAGACTAGTCCCAAAACACCTCTCTCCCAGACATCTTTGCCTGTTTTTGTTCCTTGTGAAGAGGTTCAAGTTGGCCAAGTCAGCTTTACACTGACCCATTAGGTTGGAAGAGACTCTTTTAAAGAGATGCAGTCCTGCCAGGTGAAATATTAACTATTTGGAAGGAACAAAAGCTCCTTATCCCCCCCTCCCCATCCTGTCCTCAGCATTTCCAAGTGGAAGATACCAGGGAATTCCTATGGCACAGAGGAAACAATGCATCTGCAGGAGAGGGCAGATGGAGACCTTTATCTTTATCTTCTATTTTAGCAATCACAGCTTCTCAGAGAGAGAAAGATTCCTGTCCTATTGTCAGTGATGGCAGAAAGTTCAGTACAGAATATTATGATCTTCTTTTTGAGGGCTGGCTATACAAGTGTTCTGAATAATGCAGCTCTACTCCTTTTTCTTCTTTTGTTATTGCAACAAAGAAAGTTTGGAGAACTCTGAAAGAGATCCAAGAGTCCCCTGGGCTGCTTGAAACTCACTTGCTGGTTGCATACACTTAATGCTTCTAGTCAGGTTGGAGTTTAAAACTAGAGCCATACCTATGTATGATATGTTGCGTCTGGGGCTGACTGTTACTGCAATTGTTTATAGGAATGGTCTTACCTGTCAAAGTATTATTTATTTCTATGGTGCTTTTCTCCCAGAAAGGGGTTGTTATGATGACTGATTTAATATAAAGACCCCTTTTGGAT